AAATTAGTTATCAGCCCAAAGGGAGCATCCTTAGCAAAGATGGCTGCACCAGCCCTGACACTTTTAGCGCAGAGTCCCCATCTTTGCCTGGCAAGGAGATGGGAGAAGCTGGATGTAACGCAGTGCTCACTTCTCCGGGTCACATGACTGCAGGGACGAGAGGGGGCTTGGATGTGGGCAGGTCTGCTGCGGCTGGCACAAGTGTCAGTGCAGGGATATGCCTCTTCTCTTCTCTTCTCTCTGCAGGGACGAGAGGGGGCTTGGATGTGGGCAGGTCTGCTGCGGCTGGCACAAGTGTCACTGCAGGGATATGCCTGGGACGCCCATGGCGGGAGGGGAATGCACAGGGCCCAGGCTGTCGAAACTCGGCGGGTTTGCAGGACTGTCCACTTGATTGTTTCTCTGGGTGACTGTCCCCAGCGGGTGTAGCCTGGGCCTCAGAGCGTGCAGACAATCTGGCCACTGTGGGCATGGGCAGAGGCCCATGGGGTGGGCACCATGCTTTCCACATGTGCCCCTACAGCAAGGCAGAGAAGTTCCTGCAGCCCTGGGACGCCAGCAGGGAGGAGGGCATCTATCCTCTCCTCATTCAGTCTCAAAGGGTCAGGAACACGACACTCAGGGGCCCAAATCCTTTTCCAGGAGTCTGAGCACAGTGAGCAACACATCCTTGCCGAGTAAGGAACCTGCATTGCTCTTCCCGAAGCCCCCAGAAAGGAGTTCCTGGGGAAGCAAGGGCGGATGGAGACCCTCCCACTGCTAAGGTTCTCCCTTTGCTCTCAGAGGTCTAGGGGGCCGGCGGGCTCACGCTGAAGTCTGCTGCAGCAGTTTCACAATGCTGGCTGGTGGGAGGGGTCAAGGGAGGCGGCGGATGAGACTGTTGGGAAGGTGTGAAATGCCCACCAGCTGAGAGTGTGACAGTCACGAGGGAAGCACCGTGCAGGGAGAACACCAGGGGAGCACAGGGAAGAGAGCACTGTCCACGCAGATGCCTGCGTGCGCTGCACCGTGGGTGTGACTCTCCCTTGTCTCTTCTGCTTTCTCTGGACAAGAACTCGGAGGGTGACAAGGAGGAACGCTGACAGCTGGCCTCCACCCTGGGACCCAGCCTGTCGGGATCAGGAGGCTGGGGGCACCCTCGAGAACACTCACAGGCTTCATTCACTCCAGTTCCTTTAGTGCTGGTAGGGGCTCGGCGTGACCCATGAGCCAAGGTGTACAGGTGACCTGACACTGCCTCTGCCTTCTTGGTGTTCACCACTCCAGCATGTCTGGCTGACCAGTGGTTGCTAATGAACCCTCAAATCCAGCCTTCTTTTCCACTTGTTTTCCTGACTTTCTTGTAGCTAGAAGTGCCAGGTGACAATTTTAGCCAGTAAGAAGTATAGGAAGTCTCAGAGGCTTCCTAACAAACTTTACTTTCCTGATGAGAATGCAACTATCTGCATCCATTTCCTTCTTTTCCCTCCTTCAATACGGATGTGATGCCTGGAGCTGTTGCAGTTATTTTGTGATCATAAGACATCAAGCATGAAGATAAAAAGGTCATTACTGGGCTGCGGATGGTAAACTAAAAAGATAGCTTTTGATAACAATTGTCCAGCTGCCCAACGAATGTCTACAACTCATCCACCATCACATGATATTTTTAATATGAGAAAAATAAGCTACAGTTTGAAAAACTAAATTGAATTTAAAAATTTTAAATTATTAAAAAAATTCTGCTCTTTGTAGTTAAAAGCAATTCTTACAGATACACCTCTTTTTATAAGTGAATCCTGTGACTTTCTCTTTTTATCCCCTTTACAGTGTCACCGTGAAGACTGAAATATAGAATGACAGCACCAGCATAGTCTCCATGAATATTATTATCCTTGTCCCAGAGAGGAGCCCAAAGCTCGGGAAACACAATGGCTTGTTTACCTGGCTCAGTAGCAGCTGTCCGGACGCAGGTCTCAGAGGCTGCCAACCATCCTCCTCACCACCCCCGTATCAGCATCCCACGGTCACACTGGATGTGGCCACACTCATGCTGGATAGTACAGACTGCTTGCAAAGGAGCAGCCCAGAATCACAGCCAAGGTGCAACTGGTTGGGACCATCGTAAGAAGAGGGGTGGACCAGGGCTCTAGGCCACGAGTGGCCTGCAGGGCTGTGGAGATGGACGCAAACGACAGGCAGAGATGTCCACGTGCACTTTGTGGAGGCTCATAGTGTTCTCAATCAGCGCATTCTGGCTGGGTTGGGATCTGCTGAGCTGGGAGGTGGGTCCCTGATGGCAAGTCCGGGCTGCTGGCCTAGGGAGGTCATCTCAGGGCTGCTTTGACACCCACGGAGACCTAGCAGAAGTTAGCCATTTTACTCCTGACCTGCATGTCAAATCAGAAGTGAGCCGCTAGGATTCCTGAGGGGACACAGAGACAAGTCCTAGAGTTCTGCAGTGACTGGTTATCATCTAATTTATGTCTGGTTCAAAGTGCACGCTCACAGGAAAGATGCTCAGGGTTAGGAAAGATGGTGTTTCCTGTCTCCACCTCCTCAGGCAGTGTGGCGAGGCAGCCAGTTGCCTGGCCAGGCTAAACTCGAATTGAGATCTGCAGTGAGACCACAGCTCCAGCGCATAGGGTCAGATGGGGTCCTGTGGCCCCATGCTGCTCTGCGCACCACCCGCTGCCTGGGTGCTGACCTGCAGCAGGCCCGGAGCTGGCAGGGACTCCATCCCCGAAGGAGCACTGAGAGACTGTGCTTGTCACTGCTGGGAATCTGGGAGCAAGCACAGGGAACCCCCAAACACAGTTCATGGTGCAGACAGCAGAGCAGTGGGTACTGCCGGCCTCACAGATGTAAGGTGATGTTGCCCGGCAGTGGCGACACGAGGCATTAATCTCACCAGGAGAGTCATGACGAGGCCTTGGGTTGAGGGGTCCTCAGGTAAGGCCTTGGGCCCTGCCTGGTATTTGGTATTTCCCCCAGGAACAATACCTCAGGGGTTCTGCTGAGTCCACACAGTTCCACTGCACTGTGAATCTAGTACACACAGCCTCGGGGCTACTGCGCACACTTCAGTCATGAGCACGCGTCAATGCCCCCAGCCTGGAGCTCCCACGGGGGCCGCCTTGTAAAAGGCTCACACTGTCCCACCAGCTGGTGTGAATTATGCGCACCACACTGGACAACCATCCTCATCACAGACACAGCCATGATGCCACATTTGGGGCTTTGGGTGGCTCAGGCCAGGGCCCCGCCCATCCCCACCACAGCTGACTTCCTCTCTCTGCATCCAGGGTTCGCCTCTGGGTACCTCCCTGTCAGGTCCCAGCAGTCCTCCTTACCAGGAGACCTGCTAGTGCTGTCCAGAGACATCCCAGAGTCACAAGTTGGTAGGGAGGCGTTGCCACTGGCCCTTGTGGCTAGAAATCAGAATGACTAGAGTAGATGCTGAAGGAATCTGACTGCTGCCGCCATCCTGGCCCAAACAGCTGCACGGAGTGACTCATACTATTATCAGTCCTGCTATCCCAGCGACTCATATCACTATCCTCCCTGCTACTGATAGCAACTCATATCACTATTCATTCCTGCTACTGCTAACAACCACTGCATTCCCACATCCCCAAGCCTCCTCCTGGGCAAGTATCTTTGGCAGGTAGCCAAGACCCGGCCTCCGGTCACCGAACTCCCTTCCCTCCCTCCTGACCCTGTAAAATACCCCACAGCCTGTACGAGAGATACAGGCCTGGTCTCTAGTGCCAGAGCAGTCACTCTCAGGTTTGTTCTGAGATAAACCTGTCCTGCTGAGCTCACATCTCTGGTTTTTTTCTCTTTCTTTCCCTAATAGGTATGTCACTGAGAAGCTTGTAAAGTAGAAGTTTTAAATTCTCAGTTACATGCAACTGTCATTAAAGGTAACTGTGGAGAAACTTTATAAAGGTTATTTTGAAAATAAGCCAGCGGGAAAGAATAATTACATGAAAGATAAAACCTGGATTGTAGTTTGAATGTTCATATATTTAATCATCAGAGATTAACACTAGTAATTCATAAAAATGTAAATTTATGTGAATTAGTCAATATTTTACATGCATAAATATTGCTGAAAATGGTTTAACTGCCCTTTTTCCTAAGGTCACAAAGTTGTTGCACATAAATAATCTTTCATGTGGTGAAATGTTCCAAGGGAGTAGAATGGTGCTTTTAATATTAGTCTTATTTTTAATAATGGAAGAATAATAAATTAATGCAAAAGTTCTCTGAAATTAAAACTAGTATGTGAAAGAAATTTAATGGGGTCGGGCCAGGAACAGAAGAAAATCTAATAAATTTTTTGTGAAATGGAATATTTCCTGATTTAACTTCTGTCTTCCTTTCTTAATTGTCTTGCATCTATGAGGTTAGAGTTAAAAGAGCAGTAATTAATTTGTTGTTTACATTTATTTGTGTAATAATGCAACCTGTGCTCATACAGCCCTGTGACTGAATCAGTGGACCTGACCCAGGACATCTTAGAGCCGGGCCAAGATCTCCCAGGCCAAGTAGGCACCCTCCATAAATGGTCAGCAGAAGAGAAAGAGAATCAGAGCTTAGTTAATGCTAAGGTAGGCCTGGGTTCCAATAGCTATTGAGTTTCTTAAGAGGCAAGAAAGTAGCAGTGGCTTTTCAGTGGTTCTACCCTTAGTTTATGGAGTCCCAAACGTGAGGGAAGTGAAATCAGGGGAGAAAGTACCATCATTTTGTGTGAAACCCAAACTGTTTTCCTTTGGGAAACAGTTCACAATGCTTTGGTGAGACTATGTGTTTAGGAAATCACGACTGACCTGGTGACCTGGGAGCTCAGATAGTACATGAAAGTATTTCCACCCCTGCCCAGGACCCATCTGTGTGCAGTGATCTTAGTTAGGCAAAGTGTGAGAGTCGAGGTGGAGCTAAGGCAGCTCCTTCATGTCCCCTGGGTCTGGGGTGGGATGCCACATCCCCCAGGGAGGGGAATCACAAGCTCTTACCCAGTCGGTTGCAGGGGTTCCTCTTGAAAAGGGCTCTCAGCAAGCTCTGGGCCTCCACGCTAAGGAACTGTGGCATCCCCAGCTTGGCTCTGAAAAACAAGCACACTCAGGGTAAGAATGAGCCGCTGAGGGATGCAGGTTTCTTCACTTCTCTAAGGACCTGCTCATTCAGCACTAGCAGAGCCCAGAATCACCCAGGGCTGCAATGCCCAAACTTTGGCCTTAGAGCTCTTCTGCGCTTTAAAATTGTTCAAAGATACTGAAGAGCTTTTGACTATGTGGCTTGCAGCTATGATATTTATTATATTAGAAGTTGAGAGTATAAAACCTTTACAATTATAATTTAATAATTCATTTAAAGTATAATCAAAAGATTAAAACAGCAATAATGACCCCATTAGCATAAATAACATTTTTAATGGAAATCGGCTAAAGATCCTAAAATCAAGACAAAAATGCATTCAGCAGCCAGGGGCATCGTCTGTGCTCAGGTGAGTCTCTTCCTGGCTCTCTGAGGACAACTGCACTCTCACGTGCCTCTATACCAGGTCACTGCAGCACTGTGAGGGACACCTGGGAAAGGAGGACTCTGCAGGGCCAAGGAGACTCTTGGTGACGGGCTCCCTGGCCCATCTTGAGGACACAGGCACAAACCTTGGAGTCTACCCTCAGAAACCCCACCACTCCCTGGTGACTGGCATGAGTCTAACCTGGGCATGCTGGAGGGATTGTTCCAGCTGTAAAAAAGACTAAAGACTGTGCTCCCCTTCACAATCCCAGTGAGCAGAGGCGGTCATCTCAAGAATCATGGCCACAGTCAAAGGCATCCCACAGTAAAGCCACTTGCTAGAAAACTAATTAAATAAAAAGACAGCACCCTGGCTTTGCTCATAGGCCCCAGCTTTCGGATTTCCCCCATCCGTCTCTCATTCCCTGTAAAGGAGGACTGAATTTACAAAAACTTCACTGGCAGCTTCTTAGGGGCCTCTTATTTTACAAAAGCTACATGACCAATTGCAGCAGACTCCTTGCTGCTGTCAAAAGGACAGCTTTACAAGTTTCTCCCTCAAGTGGTACTAATTCTGCTGCCTTGCTCTACAGAGACAAACTGACTTGGAGTCCTGGCCACCTTGCTTCTTGCCCTTCTCTGACACTCATGCCCAGTTCACATCTGAGATGTTGTGCCCAGGTGGCTCTGAGAACCCTGTCTACACGGATGAGAAACCATTTCCTTCAGGCCCATGACGAGTGGTGAAAACTTGCACTCTGAGGTGGCTGCTCCACTCACTTGAGGATGAGGGCCATGGTCTCCTTCCGGTCCTTCCCCTGAAATGGCAGGGATCCAGTGAGCATCTCGAACTGCAGAGCAACACAGAACAGGGTAAGTTTGTGTCTTCCTCCCAAATCCCAGCATCTGCTGGCCTCTGCAGGACACATCACCAGAAAACCATGGTCTCTGGAGTTCACACAGGGAACAGGTAAACTGTATGGGACTTGGGGCCCCACCTTCTCTGCTGGGGGCTAGGGAGTGGCTCCACCAGTATCTGAAGAAGAAGGAAGAAGGAAGAGGCAGTGTTCGCCCTGATTATAGAGCCCCTGAATACCATCTGATAGACAACATACCGCTGACATCCCCCAGAAGCAGTCAGTGCACACTGGCCAGGAGAGAGCCAGAGGCAAGGGAGGACCGAAGGCAGCCATTGCCGAACAGGGGTTTCCTGCTCTCACCAGCTGCCCTCAGCAAAACCAGGGTTGATTCCATGGAGGTGGCAGCCTGGAATCTCACTGTCTGAGAACACGCACATCTGACCCCTCCTGGTGCAGGAACCAGGGGAGTCACCACAAGAAGTCCCTTTCACATACATAGAACCCTGATTCTACAGAAATGTGCAAGGCATGTACCCTGCTCTGTCCTTCATGAGAAGGAAGCCTCAAGCAGGTGTTTACACAGTCCTATTAAATCTGCTCGAGTCTTGACATTTTATCGCATATGTCTCAGTCCCTTTGCAATTTACCCACTAGCATTTTCCCCTTGCATTATAAAAATACTGGGAAATGCATGAAAGCAGAAGGACTAAAATCATCACCCTGCTCCTATTAAAGATATGCATGACCCTTTGTTAGCTCCTTCTAGTACTTTATTGAAGATGCTTTGTCTGTTTTATTTTGTTTATTTTTTAAAACCATAAATAAGGCTTTGTGCACTAATTGTTCACAGAGTAATAGAAAACTTTCTGCACTTAGAAAAATCTGTGCAATATCATTTCATATGTGAACATACCCACATAAGCAGTGCATCTACTGTTGGAACTTCTACTTAGGATGTTCCCAATTTCCAGCTTGTAAGAAGCATACATACAAATTTTCCTAAGATTTGGAGGTATCCATGTGATAGGATATCAGGAATAAAACTATAAGCTTAAAGAAACAATACAGTTAAATTTTTATTAATATTACTCATGTGATTTCTGAAAACAAAAATTTAAAACACATTCCTGGAAGTTTAGGAACTTGAGGCCCATTCCATCTCATGAAACCTGCTGTCCACACAGAGCCACAGGCTGCAGGTAATCATGTATGCATAAGGAAAGTCCAGAGGAAAATTTAAAAATAGGCAAACATAATTAAATTGAAAGGCTAGAACGTGCCTACTTACAGATGATAAAATCTCTTTATCTGATAAAATCGGACAAACATTTTAAAGCTGATTATATAAATAACAATCTCTCTTCAAATAGGGTCATGTTAGCAAAGGGAAATCTCTGCTTTGGTCCTTCCCTGCTTCTGCTCTCTCGTTCTGTCTTTCGTGCAGTCTACTACCAGCATTCACAAAATCCCACTTCCTAGGAGGAGGCTCTGGCTACACGGAACAAGAGGGCTGCCCCTCCACACTTGCTGTTTATCCCTTGCTGCACAAAGCTGGCCACATCCTGAGACCTGCACGTCATCAGCTGCTGGTGACTGCTGGACTAGTATGTCCCATATGTGCTGACTATTATGAGCCTCTCATAATGCTCAGGGTCCCTGTTTTTTGAATTCTCCCCCACTCGCTTTCCTCCGTCCATGTGGTTCTTTCTTCTGTGACGAGGCCACATGGGAAGACTCCACCTCTATGAACCCCCAGGACACAGGCACACGTGGGCACTTAGTAAGTATTCGCCATGTTGAATGTGATGTGAAATGCTGACAATGACAAGTTATTTTTGCGGCCTCCACAAGTCTGGGCACTTTGGCTTTATTTCCAGCCCCCCTCAGGGCCCCCACAGAGAGGGATCGTTTCCGTACTATTGTTCTGAATGGAGCTTCTGGGGAACGTTTCAGTCTGGAAGTATCTTATTAACTCAGGATGTAACTGATGAGCAGCGTGCGACACCATGCGTGGTGAGACTTTTGCTCTGGTGTTGGCCGACAAAGCCATCTAGGGCAAATTGGTTAAAGCTGTGGTTTACCCTGAGGCTCCACCCCGAAGCACACAGGCTTTGGGGGAATGCCCCAAGTGACTCATGCACAAATCAGCACCAAGGCCAGGCTGTGGAAACCTACAGAGGGACTTTGACCAGATCCAGACCCAGCTTCACTGGAGTAGCTATGATGCTTCTAGGAAAAGGAATAATTTGATATTTCTTAAGTGGTGGTTCTCAGACTCCAGGGGACATTTTTGAAGTTGGGAAACATTTTTGATTTTCATGGCTGGAGGTGAGTGTGATATGTGCATCTAATCTGGGAAGGAAGGGGCAGGGAGGCTGCTAAATATCCTACAATGTACAGGACGTCCTACAGCAAAGAGCTTTTCAGCCCACACCTAGACACGGCTGGGGTGAAGTCTTGCCTCAAAAGATGCCTGATAAACCCCCAGGCAATGGCCAATCTGGGTTCAGGCATGACCCACCCAAGTCGCCCAGAGAAGGCTGGGGACAGCTGAATGAGGAGATTCTCCAGAAGAAAGACATATGGTCCCCGAGATCCCCAGATTCAAATTCATTTGGTGGCTCAACATTCTTAAAACACAAGCCACAGGAGGTTAGTAATTTAATCTGAAAACTTGTAAGGATGAACCCAACCATGCCAGGGGTGGCTGGAGTGGGTGGCAGAGTTGTATCTGCTGGATGGGGTGTGGCAGGCCAGTGTCCAGCTGGGCAGACTTGCATGTACGAGCACATAGATGAGCCTAAGCGCCTGGGTGGAGACACTTGCCCTGACAACCACAGGTGCCCACCACAGCTCTGCAAGATGTCTATGCTGGGGCGGGGGGCAGGGGGAATCGCTGTCTTCGAGCAAAACTGACTGAACTTCACAGCTTAGAACTAGAAAATAATCTGACCAAGGGGCTGAGGTTCCTACCTTGATGGTGAGTCCTGGTTCACTCTACACTGGCCTGGACTCAGTCTTCAGGAGGGTGTTTGGGTAGAGACTTGCAGACCTTTGAACACCTGTGAAGTGGCTGCCTCTTGTCCATATGATTGCCTTTGATCAGTGATGGCAAACCTTTTAGCGCTTTCAATGATGACAAACAGCCTGCTGTGGCACATGTGCCATAGGTTCACCACCACTGCCTTCGGTCCTCCTTGGTTCTGGACAGTGGCACCTCACGGGCCAGGTAAACTGCATAGCTATGCTAGGCCACCTCCGTGAGTACTGGTGGCTCAGATCTCAGTGGTGGTCCCAGGCTCTGCCCTTCAGTGTGGGGCCTGTCCCTGGCCAGTAGGATCATGAGGTAGGACAGTGCCTACCTCCATGGGCATCTCAAGGTCCACAGCTCATGCTTTCTCAATCCCAGACCAGAACCTGTTCCCTTAGGTGCGGCTGTGTGGGCCTCAACACTCTCATCAAAGCCAGCAGCAGCACCTCACAGACACACCGATTTCTAAAATAATCCCTTCACCAGGCTCGGATAAGACAGGACACTAAACGTCACTTAGGTCCATCTCCTAGCTGCAAATGAGAACTAGGAAGTAGTTTCTGATGTTGCCCAAAGAACTGATGAGAATCTGAGGCTGCCATGGACTGACTGTCTGCTGGGAGGGGGTCATCACCCAGGGCCAGAAGGAGGAGGTTATGGGATCAGTCTCACGGTTGATTGTTCCTACAGAAGAAACGGATTAGAGGAATGTCCAGGGTCTCTGGAACTCAGACTAGTCTCGCGGGCTGTGCCTGTGCCTGCGGTGTTCTCTGCTGGCACTCTCTGGCCAGGTTCAGGCCACCTCTTGCTGTCTGCGCTGTCAGGTAACCTGGAAATGAGGGGCAGCCTTTTATGACTTCCCTTCCTTAAGCAACGGTTTATCTGAATTGCTGCCTAGGTGGACCATTCACAAGCTCAGACCTACTTGCTCCATTAACTTCTTTGAGGACAGAAGATCACCCAGCACTCACCCAGAAAGGACACGTAAGGACTGGGCCCAGAGACCAGGAGAAGCCTGGAGTCCTAGCAGGGAGCCTGGACTTACAGCATGCTCCTGCATGCTAGAAGAACCTGGGTCTCAGGAAGGGTGAGGGAGCTCACAGAGGTGCATCACCCTCACCTGCCAACTCCTGCTATGCAGGGACTCAAAGGAAACTACTAGGATGGGAGCAGAACCATCTACCAAAAATCATCCTGAAGCAAGCAAAGATAATTAATTGCCTCATTAACATATCTAAAGAAAGACACTTTTGATCAGATGAAAGCAAATGGAAAGCCTTAGAGACAGGTGTGGTGTTCAGGACCAAGATGCATTGCATCTTAGCTCTTTCTATTATAGGCCTGAATATTCATAAACAAAAAGCATCACCACTCATGTGGCTAACACTGAACTTTTATGAAGTCACTGTGCACTTTGCATACGTTAACTGTTCAGATGAGGGACTTTGTTGTGACTCTATTTGACCAAGCTGGTTCTCACTGAGATTTAACTTTCCTCATAGTTGCCAACAGGGGTAAGACGTGCTGGTTCTGTGGGCAGGAGCAACCCCTGAGGTGGTGCAGGCATCTCTTCCTGTGAGCCAAATCATCTCCCCAGCTGGTCTGATGGACACTGAGCCCCAGGGAGAGTTTAGCAATCTGTGTCAACATAGCTAGGATTTCTGAGCCCTGGGCAGGACTAGGACTAGGGGAATTGGTGACCTTGAGGAAAGTCCCTAAAGCCTCAGATATCAGCATGAGGTTCCCAGGGGACGCACCTGACTGGAGCCCTGTCATGGTGGTGGGAGGGAGACGGCAGGCATGTGGAGACAGCTGCGTTTGGATGCACACGGCCATACCTGGTGCTGGCTGGTTGCCGGTCATCACACTCACTAAAGCTCCCTGCTTTGTTTTCTCCTTAGGAAACGCAGTTTGTGTGGGGGTCATGAAGCCCTGAAATGCCACGACTGACTACAATCCACATCCAATTCCAGAGTGGCAGAGTCTGGCCCACCCAGGCCACGCTGGGCCCTGAGACACTGCCCTGCTCAGGTGGGAGGAGGAGGGAGGGGAGGCCATTACTACGAGCACATGTGGGGGTGGGGACTGTGACAATGGAGTTCCTGGTCTCTACAGCATTTGATTGTGGGCTCTTTCTGGGAAGAGTGTTCCTTTCTAAAAGTAGATGCAAAAATATTTAATTCCACGTATACTTGGGCTCATGTTAAATTTTATGGCTAAGTTAAAGGATTACATGTTTGAAATAAAAGTACCTTTCACGTGGAAATCACTGCATTCCTTAGAAACCCTTGCTAAATCTGTTAAAGTGTTAAGTATAAAGGTTGGACCTTTAATGCATTTGCATTCTTATTTGAATCCCATTTCCATTTTGTGGCAGTGGGAGGCTGGGATGGGCAGAGGTGGATGCTCCCAGGACATGCTCAGAAGCTCACTGTCTCTTCCTCATGCTAGAGACCAGGGTAGGCTTCTCTGCACCAATCTGAGTGGGATAGTCCACCTGGGGACACCTGCTTCTGCCCAGGAGGCCACTGAGGACAAGCCATTACCATCAACACGCCAAAGGACCACCAGTCGGCGCTCTGTGTATGTCCACGCCGATTCACCACCTCAGGTGCCATGTATTCGATGGTCCCGCAGAACGAGTAGGCCCTCTTGTCATGGTCGATGGCCTCTTTGCTCAGGCCGAAATCTAAATGTAAGGAAAACACAAGGCACCACCTCAGACTCCGAGCTGGTGAAGGCTGTGCCTGTGCAAATTCTGTCACTCCTGTCAGTGTTGCCACCTGGGCACAGGAGTGACCGACCCCCTCCCTCCCTCCCACTCAGGGGCAGCAGAGCCCTGCTGAGGGTCCCACCTGGTCCGAGAGAGCATGCAGCGTGGCCCCTTCCTGAGTCCAAAATCCACCAAGTGGGCTAGTCGTGACTTTGTAAGTTCAGGAGGGCCTTGCAACAATACCAAGAAGCTTATTGGTATCTGACATGAAGTCCCCAGAGATCCTTGTCCATAACTAAGCACCAAGGGGCCTAGGACCCCCACTGAGGGTTGGGGATGCAGGTTTGGGGTACACGGTATTGCTCTGATAACACCACAGGGAGGCAAGAAGAGAATGGGTAACTCAGGTGGGAGGTTTGGACTGGCAAGGTATGGGGGCCTAGAGAGCCTGTGCTGACTGTGAAGAGGAGACCAGGACTGCAGCGAGAGGGCAGAATGTGGAGCCCAGAGACGGCTACATCCTACTCCTAGAACCTGAGAACGGGTGATCTTACAGGGGTACCTTCTGGTGTGGTTAAGGATCTGGAGGAGGGAGACTGTCCTGGATTATCTGGGTGGGCCCTTTGTGTAAGGGAGAGGACAGAATTCAAGGACAGAAATGGGAAAATTGTGCTTTCCTGGTACTGAGGGTGGAGCATAGGCCTGTGCTGAGTGATGCGGCAGCCTCTGACAGCTGAGAACGCAAGGAAGGGTTTCCCCCAAGGCTTTGGAGGGAATGTGGACAGCTGACCTCCTGCACTGACTCCTGTGAGACTTGGGGCCTCTGAAACTATCTGATGATAAATTATTTGTGTTGTATTAGGGTACTAAATTTCTGGTGATTTGCTACAGCAGCCATACGAAGCTAATGCAGTGTGGCGTTGTAGCCTAAGATGGGGTTTACAGCTTGGCTGAATTTGCTAGCAGTCATATGGTTTGGAGGTCAAAGGGAGACAAGGTAGGCAGCTTCCATACAGGCTGGGGTCGTGGCTGGGGATGTGGTAAAAGCCACAAGACTGCAGCAGTACTGTAGGATGGGACACACTACAGAGTGACCCTGATGTCTGCCTGGGGGTCAGCACGGGCTCCGTGTCACCCTCATGGATGGCCAGCACAGGCCCTGGGAGAGGCTCAGGCAGGGTGTGGGGCGGGGTGAGTCTGAATGCTCCCCACTCTGAGGACATACAGCACAGTAGCCCGTGTCCTGGAAAATTGAGGCACATCAGAGATGAACGAATGACTGGCAAATGCCTATGGGACAAAGGCTGTGGTGCTGAAGTAGTCTTCAACTTTTGAGGGCTGAGATGAAGTCACCGAGGACGCCTATTATCTCTTACAAACCTGTTATCTTGATGTGCCCCTCTTCGTCCAGCAGGATGCTGAAAGAAAGGGACAGAAAACACAGGCTTAAGAGAGACCAGCCCTGCCTGCCCCATGTATGGCACACAGAGTTGGGTCCTGGGGGCAGCTTTGAACATCCTGCACCCAGCACTGTGCCACCTATTGGGTGTGGAGTGGGGTTCTCAGACAGCTGCTTCCCTGTCCCATGGCCTCTGCCAGTCCAGGAGAGTAACCGAAGCATCTTGTCCTTGAGCTTGGATGCTACAGCTTTGAGACTTCCTGAGTCATCAGCGAAGGGCTGGGACCCTCTGTCCTATTCTGCAGGAATAAGAGGGGGATCTGGGAGTCCTCCATGCCTGGAGACCCCCTTCTCCCTTTGTCCCTCCCTGAACCCAGCCTCAGATCTTAGGACCAATCCTGGCCTCTGACTGGGTGGGTGCACACAAACTTGGGCTTCAGCAAGGAAGAGCTCTTGGGGTTCCTCAGGCTTTTTTGTGCTGAGTCGGAGTCCCAGTAAGGCAATGCCCTAGAGCGCTGGTCTTGTTCCTGCTCAGCCTTGTCACACCATGAGTGGAAAGCTGGCTTTCCTCTTCCCAGTGGTCAAGTGCTGGGAGCTGGACTCCTCGTTAGAGAGTGGAGGTGAGTGTGTAAGGTTGGGCACAGGGATAACCTTATCAGGCCTTTTCCTGTGGACTACAGGCTGGAGCTGGGGTTGTGACACTTCCAGGCCCCAGGGTTCCCACTTCCCTATCTATTTTTTGGGCTGTCATTAAGTCTCCCATGAGATCCTCTGAGATGCCAGCCCATCCTAAAGAGATAAAAATGTGGGCTGGAGAGAAAATAAAAGCAAAACTGTGAGGAATAATATATGGTGACTGTTTTCATAAAAAAAATCTGAGAAATAAGGAAACCCCCATTGACTGCGGCCTGGATGACCTTGAGGACACTGTGCTGAGGGAAGTCATCCAGCCACACAGAGAACTCCTGTGGGTTTCCAGTCCCCCAAACCCCTTGAGTCATCAAGTTCACCAAGATGAAAGTCGAATGGGGTCACGGGGGGCCTGGGGAGGGGGATGTGGGGCTGGAGTTTAACTGGAAGAGAGTTTCAGTGCTGCGGGATGCAAAGTGCTCTAGAGGGATGGTGGTAATGCTGCACCGCTCTGCAAATGTGCTCCACACCACTGCTCTGTGCCCTGAACCGGGGCTGAAGTGGTAGATGTTATCTGTATATTAACACAATTTAAAAACCTTGCCCTGGGATTGAAGAATATATCTACTTTATGGACATGTGAAGAAGGGAAGGGTCACAGGATATTAATTAAGATGACACGTTATAATTAAAGAGGCAACTGTTTTATCTTTGCTTTTTGGTTATACTCAGTCTTTGCTCAGAAATCGAGCAACTCTCAAGACTTGTTCCCTAATGACTCTAATTGAACAACAAACTCTTCCTCTCCACCCTGCAATTAAATATTACTACTTTTAGCTGCAAGGATCACTTTGACCTTTACGAAAAAGCCAAGACTAGTGCTCCTTGCTTAATGTGTGCAAGGTGAGAGAGTGTGCCGTGCTTACTGGGGGCTGCAGGCCCTATTATAGGCCTGTGGGAAGGAGGATGGGCACTGTCCGTGCAGGACTTCACCCTGGGACTCTTGAGCTGGAGAGCAATTCACATGAGTCTGACCTCTGAGATGACCTCTGCAGATAGTCAAATCCACTTTGAAAGGCAATTTAACCTTGGGTCCCTGCTGCTTGAGGGAGAAAGCTGCAGCTTGTAAATCTCGGTTCTCTGGGGCACCAGCACAAGGCCTCTTACAGTTGCCTGCAATTGTATATACAGGTGCAGCCAGAGACGTTCTGCTGACTAGTAGCAATGCCGGAGCCCAGTGCCATGTGTCATGCGTATGGGCAGATGTTTCACATATGTCACTTGTCATCTGGCAAAGCCAGGTGTTTCCTACAATGAACAGCCACATCTAACAAGCTGGCCTCAGAGAGATATTTGTCTTTATCTTTATCTCCAACAGTGCAGGTGACAGGTGGGACAAGGAGCAGAGCACTGTGACCCCTCAGTGTTATAGCACAGACTGGGCTGGACCGAGGTGTCCACGCTGGCTGGCCACACCAGGCAGCACCTTGTCTGGGCAGGTGTGACCTGTGGTCTCCAGCCCACACAGTTCAGCCTCACAGGTAATCAGTAGTGTGAGAAATCACTGACTGCCTCAGGAACATAGTGCAGCTTGGCCAGTAGAACCTACACCGCCACCCACTGGGTCTCCTAAGCAGGCCCCTCTGAGTTCACATCAGTCCACAAAGAACACATAAGGAAAAAGCCTGAAGTGGGAGCACTTTGGAGGGATGTTAATATTTTAATTTAGACTATATTAAGCGACTATCCTAGAAATAATATATGAGAGTATGGTTGTGGTGGAATCTTGGCTTGGGGATTCTGAGGCCTCTGTCTCTTGGGTGACTTGTCACCTATAAATGGATCAAAAAGTCAACCAAGAGGAGGCAGATTGACCATACTCCTTAGGTTTATTGAAATAGCTGAAAAGCTCCCTAAATCTGGAGTCAGAGATAAGAGAGGGAGAGGTACAGACAAATGTCTGGTTTGAGGTGCTCCCTAATGGCAGAGGTGACCTGTCTTTCAGGCGGTAGAAACATGGAACCAGAGCCATGGGCTCTCCTCCAAATTGTCCGGGGACCCACATGCCAGGTACATGAGGCTGTGCCTTGCTACTCTTGGGCCTTAATGAGAATCAGGTGGGAACAGCCTTAGTCAAGAGCCACAGGACAGGGGCTGGGGACTTAGCTCAGCGGCAAAGGGCCTGCCTGGCAAGCGCAAGGTCATGAGTTCGGTTCTCGGTACCGGAGAAAAACCAAAAAAAAAAAAAAAAAAACAAACAAAAAGAGCCACAGGACAGCTGGACAGGGTGGGAAGGTGGCACCTCACCTTACTGGAATTACAACATGGGTCTGTCCCCAGCCCACTGTCTGAAATGCATTTACTTAGGAAACAAATACTGGGCAAGGACCACCGATGTGGCCTGAAGAATATCCACAGGTGGGTGACAGGATGATGGGGTCTCCCACTTTCCCCTCACTTACTTCTCAGGCTTCAGATCCCTGTAGATGATCCCCAGGCCATGCAGGTGGTCCAGAGCCAGGGCCAGCTCTGCCAGGTAGAACTTGACATCCTCCTCAGTGAACATAACCTACAGGGAGAGAGGGTCCTGCTGGTCAGCTCATTCCCTAGATATTTGTTCTACGGAACCCACGACTCAGCCCAGGAAGGCACACATGGTACAAGTCCTGGGCCCTCAGCAACGCTGTTCTGGCTTCTCTAATGGAGAGGTGAGTTTTCAGTTTCAGAGTCAGTGAGAAGCAGACCTGGAGTCCTCAGACACGGTTCCCTCTTGGCCAACCTGTGCTCCTCGCCCCCTGTAATCCCTCAGTTCTGGAGTGTGTTTCTGGGTTCCTGTTCTAAGATGAGTGCTTCGGATGCAAATTCATCACAACTCAGTGCAAACAACTAAGCTACACAGTGAAGGGTGGAAAAGCAGCATAGAATGGATCTCAGATCTCACCTCTCTGCCTTTGTCCTTAGGCCTTCACCCCTGGGGTTGGTGCAAAGTAACCCTAGTAAACTGCCGACTGGGGTTTGAAATAAGCCAAAGGGATTATTTCTACCAAAGGCAGCACACATGCAGTGCTCCAAGCTGGGGAGGTTCATTGGAGAGGGGCTCGTAGGTATCAAGGGCAGAGGCTCCAAGCGGCTGGCACAGATATGTGCCTGGCAGAGACCAGGCTGTCCCTGAAGGACACTTCCAGTTGGGATTGCAGGTTCCTGGACATTGACTCTAACCCTTCCTGCCCTTGGACTCCGGAACCCTTGTTCCAGTCCCTCCGGGTAATGAGCACCTTTCCTGCCTGGGTGTTTCTTCTCTAAACTGGCCCATTTATCCTGTGGGCTTTGCTGACAGTCAGAGTTGCCCACTGTCAAAAATTCCCTCTTGGTGGACTCTGTACATCCCTGTGCTGACACCATAGGTTCCGTGCTCAGTTCATTTCTCAGAGGGCCACTGTATTTTTCTCCTTGTCCAAGTCTTAGTGTGGTCCTCAAACAGAAAGACAAGCAATTTACCATGGATACAGGTCCCTTGAAGGCAGTCACAGTGCCCTGCATGTGGCAGGATGCTGCCTCTGGTGCTGCTGACCAAGAGAATGCAGGGGAAGTGTTCTTCATGTTTCCACACTCCAAGGACCTGTGCGCCCACATGAGACAACCTCTGCTCTATAGAAAAGGGTCTCACATGTCTCCCCAGTGAGGACTTACAGAGCCTTTTGTGAATTATTGTTGCTTTTGGCTAGAGAGCCTGGCCACTACACTAGATGCTGGTTGAAAGCAGACTCCAGTGGCTGGTTTCCTATAAATGAGATGGGCAGAGAGCAAAGTGATGGATACTGCATGAGAAAGTGGCAGACGCTTGTCACTGGATAGGTCCCTAGATCCAAGAACTTTGTCCAGAACACAAAATGGACTCTTCTCACCCAGTGTTGTCCCCCTAAACACGCAGCCCCATGTGCAATGTGCCATAGTTCGAGGGACGCTTGGTACAGAGAACAGCCCTTGGACAGGGGAACTCCTGCCTCCTCCTATGGTCCCTTTTGGGTTTATGCCAGACAGAGGGTTCCCACTGAAACACAGGGAGGGGATTGAAAGGGAGGGGGAAGCTGGCAACCATGGTGACAGGGAGATAAAGCCACCACAACAGAAAGGCATCTGGAGCATGAGACATCATTTCCCCACGCTAAATTAGCATGTTCCGCCTTCTCTGCTCTTTGCTATGTATAAAATGGCATCACACAGGATCACTCGTGTGATAGCCCAGTGTTGGTGGAGCTCTGACCTCTTCCACTCATGGCACCAAGCACTCCTCAAGCCACGAGGGCCCCTGAGCCTCCCTGGGCCTCAGTGGCACCCTGGGAAGCCCCTGGCTGAGTTGCTGGAGGTCAGGGTCAACCCAGGCTTTGACAGAGCTGACAGAGCTCAGGTTGCGACAGCAGGTTGCCAATTTCTGAAGCTGTGTGTGTGGTTGAATACCAAAGCACACATGTACCACGTGCACACACACACACATTCCTACACCATGCACACCACACACATTCCACATGTAACACACATTACATGCCACATACACACACACCACATACCATACAGCCCATACAACACATGTGTTACACACATGCCACAGACCACACATCTCATACACATCACACACAGATACCACACGTACATACCATACAACACACATAAACCACACCTGTATACCACAGTACATATTCTATACCACATATATCACATGTATAACACACATCCCTCACACCACACAACTATATACACCACATACCACACACTCACCCTCACAGGCCACTTCCCCTCAGGTTCCCCCAACTTCAAAACTGCAGGCAGAATTGCACAGTGGTAGCAGGTGGCTCACCTCTTTGGACAACCTGGTGAAGAGGTCTCCGCCACGCAGGAAGTCCAGGATCAGGTAGAGCTTCCCTTCTGTCTGAAAGGCTGTAGAAGGAAACACACATGAGCCCTGGACAGTGCGTGGAGGTCCCCGTAACAATCTGTTTGTGGTTCCCACTCCTGGTTTCTCTTTGGCTTATACAGGACTCTGTGACTTGCAAGCTGTCATGTCAGAAGTGCAAGGGAGGCCAGGGAAGGACAGGGACAATAGGCTCTGTGTCTCATTTTCCTTGGAGTCTTGAAGTGTTTTCTTTCTTTGTTTTTTCCTTCTTCCTTCCTCCTCCCCTTTTAATCACAAAGGGCTCCATAGAAAGAAAGGCATTTCCTTATGCAAACTTGTTCTCAATGTCCCCACAGTTAATCAGCCGGGCATAGCTGGATTGCTGTAGGAAGCTGACTTTTGCAAAGCAGTAGTTAGTGAGTACTGTCTGAATGTCCTGATAATGTTGAAGCAATGTCTTATTAATCTGCATGCTAACAACTCAAAAGACAAGGTGACCCCCACTGGCCTTCTTCGCTAGCAGTGTTGGTCAACGGGACTATTGGTGTGTCACTGTGACGAGCTCATGCTCCCTGGTCTCCATGTGTGACAGTGTGGGTTTACCATCTATGCTTCAGGTCACAGGCTGCCCACCTGGCTCTTCTGCATGGTGTAGTGAGGACTGCGCCTGTCCCAGAGATTGGATGCACATGCACAAGGACCAGGAGAAACCAGGGGCTGTAGGGCACTGTGGGAAATCACTTAGGTCTGTTAGACCAGTGTGAAGGCTTACTATCTGGCATCTGTTTATAGACACAAAAAGCAGGGTTGAAAAGGGTCCTGATATTTGTATCCTCAAAAACTTATAACTTTCTCAATGTAAATGCTGAAATCATTATAAATGCTGGGCTTTCGAACCATGGCCTCTAAGTAGAAAACCCTTCAAGTGCACTCTAGAGTGCAGAGTGCATGTCCATCCTGGGGCTTGTTGGGCAGGTGGTGACAGTGTGGTCGCTTACAGAGGGAATGCAGAGAATCTGTTTAAGAGTTTTTGTGCCAGGTGTGGTGGTTCATGGTTGTAACCCCAGCTACACAGGAGGCTAAGACAGGAAGATTGCAAGTTTGAGCCTAGACTGGACAACTTAGCAAGATCCTGTCTCAAAATAAAAAATAAAATGTGCAAGGTATGCAGCTCAGCAGTAGTATACATACCCTAGGGTATGATCTCTGGTAACACACACACACACACACACACACACACACACACACACACACACACACAGAGTCTTTGTAAGACACTCAATTCTTAAATTCCTCAGGAAAATGCCCTGGGAACCACTTTAAATGACAAGAAGGCCTGGAACTGCCCCTAGTAGATCAGCAGTGGCTGGAATGGTGTGGGAGATGGATAGAGCAGGCCTCTGGAGGAAGCTGTAGACACAGCTTCTGTAGGCCGGAAGGGATGAGGGTCCCTCGGTTGCTCCAGGCACACAGTGGAGCAGCTTCCCTGTTCTTTCCTGTACTGTAATCTCTCAGGAAGTAAACTTCAGCATGGTGTGGCAATGCGTAGTTATCCTCACATCGCATTTTTTTATTTGAAGGTTTTACTTATTGCCCTGATCAGAGGTAGAGCCAACATATGACCATGCAGATGTATGGCCTTTACTAAATCACTTGCTCTGGCCCTGAAAAGATGGAAGTAATTACCTACCTGGAGGGGCAGTTAGAAGGTCTGCCAAATCTAGTTTTTAAAATGCTTGTCATATAGCATTCACTTAAAAGACAGTATTAGCACTGGGGCTTAAAGAAATTACTGGTTCACAAAACATTTTACCCTGAAACAACACAAAATATATCATGGTTCATCCCAATCTAGGTCAGAAGGCCTTTGTACTGATTAGCAGTGGTGACAAATTTATAATAATGGACAGCCCCATCTCAGATTAGGGCTTGGGGATGAAAACAAGGCATCTTACTCTTTGAGGGAAAATAAGCACAAAAGAGTAAGGACTGGGGACCAGCCAGGACAGGATTCTGTGACACAGGGAGGATTTTCTTCTTCCTTATCTATTATTTTGTCCGGTTTCCTTTGATCTGGAGGAAGCTGCCCTGAGCCCTCTCTGAGTGGGTCCTGTTTCCCTGTGTCACGGTACTTACCATAATGGAGCTTGACAATGAAAGGGTGATTTACTTCAGCCAAGATGTCTCTCTCCATCTTTGATCTGACTCGGTCTCGGACTGCAGGACAGAAACAAAAGGCTTTCAAGAGTGGGAATTTGGAGTTCTGAGGAACACCAAGTATAAAATATGAGCTAAACTAATTCCCCCAACCTTGTATTAGCAACTTTTCCAATGTATACAAAATCTGGAGTAGTATAATGATCATCCCGTATTCTCAACCTATTCTCAATGACTTCTGTTAAGAAACATTGACTTTCTCACTCTTTGTATCTGTCTGTTGGTCTCTCACCAGGAAGGGAATGGGGAGGGAATATAAAGGAATTAAAATGTATCTTGTATGTGTACCAACTACTCACAATGAATGTATTCTTATGTACTAATAAAAACATACTAATAAAAATTGTAGAAACAAAATGTGTAGTACACACACACACACACACATATACACATCATAGATTTTTTTTTTCTGGTACCGGGAATCGAACTCACGACCTTGCACCTGCCAGTCAGGCACTGTGCTGCTGAGCTAAATCCCCAGCCCGCCTATACACATCATAGAATATTATTCAGCCTTAAAAAGGAAAATAATATAGACACATACCACAACAAAATCAACCTTGAAAACATTATGCTAAGGGAAATAAGCAAGACACAGGGACAACTGTTGTACAATTCCACTTAGAAGTGGGGCTGAGAACAGGCAAACTCACAGACAGAGAAAACTGAACAGTAGCTACCAGAGCTGAAGAGAAGGGGATGATGGGGTTTCTGCCTATTGGGTTCAGAGTTTCCTTGGGTGATGAAAAGGGTTTGGTAATACAGTGGTGATGCTACATGGTACTGTACATTTTAATGCAGTTAAGAAAACAAAATCCTTCCTCATTCCTGGGTCCCCAGGGTGGTCTACAGTCTGCTGTACAGACTCTTAGTTCTGATATTTGTGCCTACTTATTCAAGTTCTCTGGGGCCCACCTGTGTCTCTGGTGCTGCCTGGTCACTTTCCTGGCTGGTTTGTGACAGTGCCATGTCACTGCAGGCTGCTTCTGCTTCTGTGTCTTCATAGATATGGGGTGGATGGCTCTGATTCACAGAGTTATTGTGAGAAACACAGAAGGTGACACACTGATCATAGCTAGCCTGCTGCAGGCACTGTGCCTCCTTAACTGTCCTTTGCAGGGGCCCCTTTTTTGCTCTGTCTCCTCCTGTGCCAACACTAACCAGTCACTGTGGTGCTCTGTGACATTCCTTAGAGCACAGAGATCAGCAGTGTGCATGCTGGGAACATTGTGGTCGGCAGAGTTCCAGGAGCCTCAGTGGCTGCCCCAGCCATAGTACTTGCTTCTATATCCTTTGTTGCTCTAAATCCCTGAGACCAAAGCACCAAAGCAGATAGGGAGGGGGACCAAAGTATACACTTCTGCCCAAATGAACACGGCAGAATTTCATTGCCTGACAGACCTTGAAGAACACACCACTCAGTTCTCCTACTTTACCGAAGAGGAAAAGGAAACCAAGGCTCATTGTAGATAAAGTTTTTGTGGGATACGGGTGCAGTGTGCACCTTGCCAGGGCACAGTGCATTAGCATTGCCTGAAATAACAGCAGCATGGAGGATGAGATGGTCAACCATCCTGAGATGGTTCATCTCAGGAGAGTTGAACAAGCAGGGCTAGGAGTGGACAGTCTGACCCGAGTGATGAGAGCAGAGCACTACTCTGGAGTAAGGAGAGTTGCTGAGCATTTTTATTTCATAGTTTTATATTCGTGGCTGTGATGCGGTATCTGGAATAATGACGAAGTTCTGAGGTTCTTCCTCTGACTAGGGTGGTCCTGGAAGTCATCTAGAAGGCCATGTTACAGGATTAGTCCTGATGCCCTCTCACTGGTGAGTTAACCTCTAGTGATTTGGATTCTGAATTTCTGTCAAGGTAGTTTTGCTGCTCCATGTAGTGAACTGGAAAATGGGCCGTGGGGTGGCATGGAGATGTAGACAACAGCATGGAGGTTGGGACATGGCTTCACAGTCATTTTGTAAACAAGAGCTGCAAGGGGAGGCCACAGTTCTTGCCAGTGAGCTCAGATTCCTGCTTCCTCCCACCTTCTCCCTGCCCACCCCTTTCCCACTGCCACTTCTCAATCTCTCTGCCCTGCACTTGGAGTGAAAAGCTGAGGAACAGAGGGGCTAGTACTTCCAACTAACCCTTACTTGCGGCCAGCCGGCAGGATGGAGGAACAGGGCGGTATAGTTGTCGGGTTGTCTGCTCAGCAAACTGTGCCTCACATCAAGAGGGCGCCGGTCCCTGGGCTTAGACAGTTGGAGCACCTCTAGTTAACCTACTCTGAAGGTTTGGTTTCCTTTCCAGGAACATGTGAGAGGAAATACTTTGCTTTCCTTCTGGTGGGCGGGAGATGTAGACACACAATCAGGGCCAGGGGCTGGAAACCCTCTCTTCAAGATTGAACTCTAATGCCTGAATCTTCCCGATTTAAAGATTATCTCCATTAGTATGTATTACGTGTACATTACATCATAAGTCATACTACGATGTGTCAACTTGGCCAGGCTAAGGGACACCCAAAGATCTGGCAAACATTATTTCTGAGTGTCTAGTTTTGAGTTTGAATCTGTGACCTGCTTGCCTCAGCCTCCCTTACTACTGGGATCACAGGCAGGCTTGTGTCACCACACCCGGCTAGCATGTGTCCAGTAAGATGTTTCTGGGTGAAATGAGCATTGGAATTGGTGGACTGAATAAAGAAGCCACCCTCCCTAGTGTGGGTGAGTGTGGTTCAATCTGTTGAGGCTGGAATGGAACAGAAAGGCAGAAGAAGAAACCCGATCCCTGTCTGAGCTGTGACAGTCATCTGCTCCATCCCCCAGACACGAGTGTTCTTGACTCTGTAGAGTCTTCAGACTTTGACTAGGACTTATACCAATGCCATTTACCTCTCCTCTGGTCCTCAGGCTCAGATTTCAGACCCATACTCTCCACTCTTGAATTCTCTGGCCTTTGGACCTGGACTGAGCTCCACCCAGCTTCCCTAGGTTTGCAGCCTGCAGATGGCAGTGGGTGGGACCTCTATACAGGCCAGAGTGCAAGTCTCTGATGCAGAGTAGTTTCAAAGGAGCAAACCCTGGTGCCTGAAAGGCCTTCAGTCCCCAGCGGACTCTGCTCTCCATCCTTGTGCTGCTGTCCTCTACTGTCCCAGTGCAGCTCAGTGGACCTTGGGGTAGCACCAGCTTTTGTTTGCACTTCTATAGAGCACAGGTGACAAAATTTGGAGGTGGGAGCTTGGATCTGTGTTCCCAGCATTAGAAGTACAGCAGACCTGACACATGCCTTCCTTCACCTTGATTTCCAAGGGTCGGGTCCAAGCAGAGCTACTGGGGTCATGGGTCAAGCCATGGAGTGGACCATCCAAAGACATGGGGCAGGGACCTGGAGATGCAAATCCTATCTGACAAATAGGGTAGCCAATCAGGAAGGTGGAACATGGGCCCCACTGGGCCTATAGAATAGAGCATCAAGCCAAGGGAGACTGTTTAGGTGCCTAAGGTTTAATGGTGTTTGTCCTGTTGGGTTTTGGACTTACTTGGGACTGTGACCCCTTTCCCCTTTTTTATTTCTCCCATTTGGAATGGGAATGTCTGTCCCACCATTGTATTTTTGAAACTCATACATTTGATTGCACACCTGAAGATTAATTTGCCTCAGGATGAATTGTGTCTTAAATCCCACCCATATCTGGTGTGGATTAGATGGTGGAGTTCAGAGTTTTGGCTTGATGCTGGAGAGAATTTAAGACTGAGGGCTGTTGGGATGGATGCACAATAAATGTGTTGTGTAGAGTTTTTTTTAAAAATTGGTACACTTCTCATATATACAATGATCACATTCATCACAGGGAATTTGTACCTCTACATAATACATCTTGATTCTTCTTTGTGTAGGTTTAAAGGACATAGAACTTGGGGGACCAGAGGCAGAAGGTTATGGACTGAATGTTTATGTCCCCCTCAAATCCATCTGTTGATACTTAATCCCCAAGGTGATGGTGTTAGGAGATGGGTCTTTAGGAAGTAACTATCAGGACAGTCGGGCCCCATGAATGGGATTAGTGCCCTTATGAAAGAGACCCCAAAGAATCCATTCACTTCTTCTGTCATGTGAAGACATAGTGAAAAAGATGGCCATTTATCAACCGATGCCAGCTGTCATCACACACCAAATCTGCCAGATCCTTGACCTTGAACTTCCAGTCTCCAGAACTGAAATAAATTTCTGTTGTCTAAAGTTACCCAACTGTGGTATCCTGTTATATCAGCCCAAGTGACTTATATACATGTTATTATATGATATCATGCCATATTGTATTGTTTTATTGTGATGAATTTCAAAGAAAATGAAAGGTAAAATAACAATAACTATAATTCTGTCAGTCACTGTGAAGATGAGAAATGGACAACTAAGTAAACCTTAGAAAGCTACTGTGTGTGTGTGTGTGTGTGTGTGTGTGTGTGTGTGTGTAAGAGAGAGAGCACTAACTAGCACTCGCTAGCACTGAGTCTCTGTCTATACATGGGCACCACAGAACATGGGCTGTGCACATGCTGCAGTAGGCTGCTGAGCCCTGCTGCCTGGCCTGACGTGCAATGTGACTGTCACAGAGCAGGGTGCAGTCACAGACCTGGTGGTGGTTCTGTGTTTGATGTAGCACATGAGAGACCTTGGAAGAAACTGTGCACCTTTGTAGCCTGATTAATGCGGGGCCCCTGCTCTGTGATGAGCTCAGCAGTTCCCCATGGTGCGTCACTTGACACCGCCATTCTTTACCCACAAAATTGTACTTGAGTCTGAAATTATATCTTGAGGAGTCCCTCAGATGCAGAATAAGGATCCATTTGCACACAATAGCTTTCAGCTTTGTAAGGTTTAACTCAGAAAAATCTGGTTCCCATGAGTACTTGTGTTGCTAAACATTGAGGGTGAACGCATTTTACAGTTAAGTACTCCAAAGAAAATAGAATAGAAGAAAACCATGGATGATGATGATGT